AAACTATAATTCTTATTTAATTTATATCTTAAATTAAACTCAAATACTTGATAGAGCTTACAAGTTGAATAATTTAACTCTTCTTTTTTACAACAAACTTAATGTTTATTTATGCATTGCTTATATAAATAAAATATTGATATATCATTGTCTATATAATAGATATTGACCTTATTTACACAAATGAAACATAAATAAATATTAACTCTGCTGCAAGGAAGAGAATTAAATTACCAAAATCAATAAGTTCAAGAATTTATTTATTTGAATAAAAGTTTAAGAATTTAATAAAAAAATCTAAAATAAATTTAAAAACTTAATGTATAATCTTGCCTTCTAATTATGAGACATAACATGAAAGTGTGATAAATTAAAAAAATCAGAATTATTTTTATTATACAATCTAAAATAATAAAAAAAAGTAATTTTTTGAGTTTGATTAATGACAATTTAACTGCAGTCAAATAATAATAATAGTAATAATGACAATTTAATTATTATCTTAAATGTAAATTTGCATTAACGATGCTATGGATTTTATTAAAAAGCCTTAATATATATATACAAAATTTAATTATAACGTTTTATTAATATAAAACTCAAAATCAAGCTTTTACTTAATCAAGATGGAAAGTCTAATAAATAGACTAGACGAAATTTTTTCAAAAATTGCCAAAAGAAACAATTATAATGGTACAGAACTGGCTGTCTGGATTTTACCACCAGAAAAAAGGGCAATGGATGTGCGGACTCGAAATCAAATTTCAAATTCTTTAAATTCAAACAAGTGATAGAGAGCTTGTTGACAAAAACATATTTTTAACCCCTCATTTTATCAAGTTTGAAAGTTTGAGTTCCCTTATCTTATAATATAACAGCTTTAACTACTCACTTTATTAAATTTATAGGTTTTAACTCCTTACCTATTAAAATCGAAGACAATAATCCTCACTTTATACTGATTGTTAATTTTGTTAGTTGAAAGTAAATTTTTATCAACTAATAGTCAACTAATAATCAATTAATAAAATTAATAAAATATTATAAAGTTAATTCTGTTAATTTTGTTAGTTGAAAAAAGATTTTTGATAGTTAACAGTCAACTAACAGTCAACTAATAGACTTAATAATCAGTTAACAAAACTAACAAATTGTTATAAAGTGAAGGCTATTTTTTTCAATTTTTATAAGTGAGGAGCTAAAAATATCATAGTATAAGATGAGGAGTTAAAACCTATAAATCTAATAAGGTGAAGGATTAAAAATATCATAATATAAAATAAGATATTAAAATTTTTAAACTTGATAAAATAAGAGGTTGAAAAATAAAGTGTTAAAAAATAAGGTTTTGCCGAGCTTGTTAAGGTCATGGTTGATAACTTCAATGGGATGTCGTTTTCTTTTTGGTCGACTTTCATGAGGTGTCTGAAATGTTTACATCTTTTAACTTATTCTTAGATCAGATTCCAAATGATATTTCAAATTTATTGAATAGTAACGAGTGATACAAATTGCACAACTTTGCAAACCTAGTCAAATTTATCTATGTCTAAATCTATTAGCTCCCCATCCCAGGTCCCACCCAAGGCAGCGACTGGTGAGTGTTTTCCTTTTTAGAATAGTAACCTAGAATGCTGAAAGAAATGATGGTGCAGCTATAGGCGCCGAATCAAACCAAATTCCAAATTTCTTTAGTTTATACAACTGATGTTGTAATTGCACCAAACCAGAAGTCCTTCTCAGTCCGCAATTGCACTTCGGGATGACCTGCAAAGCCCCGAGGTGGAACTCGGGGTAGACACTCCGATGCTTAAGTCAGCAATAATCGGGGCTACCTTTAGGGCGGAGATAAGAAAAGCTTAAGGTTGGTTTCAATTACCTTTTTGACGTGGCCCGGGGGGGTATTTATAGGATCCAGTAAGGAACCCACGTGGCATGCCAAGCAAGATAATCGGAGCCTGACGTGTTCATCCAGACGATTATTCCGGGACCGGGAATTTGAGAGGTATCCAGATGCACAAGCGTCCACCATACTTGTTGTGCGACTCATCATAAGGAATCAGGTGCGGGCATGCTTATTGTCATTGCCATGCATCTATTTGAGCGGGAAGCTTTGGGTTTATTCTGCACTTCGGCCATAGAAGAGTTACTGTAGCAGTCCGAGTCTTGGTACCTCGGACCTGTCCTTACAGATGTAGACCTTGGTACACGCTTGTCTCAGTATATACTGCAAGTTGTTGAGAACTTTAAGTGGGATAGCTGACATGTCTACATCTGTTAATTTTCTTCTTCCACCAAGCAAACCACTCAAAAAAGCAACCTTTATAATTGAAACAGATTGCCTTATTGCTGTTGGGTGTGATTACCGGCAATTTGTTACTTGTCTTTTGACTAGTCAGCACCAGGTTAAACGACATTTCATTGACAAGTAATTTTCTCTTTTCGTGTATCAACATCTCGTAAACTTGTTACAAGGGCTTAACTTGCCCCTCCTTTTTTACGATGAAAAAGATCATGTCGCTTGCTGACCAGCTTTCTTCTAGTTTTTTCCTAATTTACGTATATTGTGCTGTTTAAGTCTACTGAGTTTGTCTTTATTTTTTTTTTTTAAAAAAAAAAAATCATACCCTTTGGTTTTTTGTTAACTTAATATAATTACACAGTCAATTTTTTTTTTTTTGAAAATAGGTAATGGAATTACACAGTCAAATTTATGAGAAAGTGATTTTTTTTTTTTTGATGTAACAATTTTTGTCATACCATGTTTGAGGTAGCTTTAAGAGACACATGATTCTTTCTGGGCATGATTTTCAGTAAATAGACAATTAGTTTTTTTTTTTTTTTGATAAATATCACTAAACAATTAGTTGAGGTTTAACCAAAGGTTATGTCATGTTTTGTTTATATAGATCCATGGTTAGAGAAGATAACAATCACTTAGGACCATAATGGCACAATAATTCGTCTCAATTTTCTCTAGTTAGAGGAGATAAGAATTAATAGTGGCACAATAAGGATAAATGCCAATTCCAAATCCCTCATTATCTAATGATGAGTTGAATTCATATAGATATTAATGTGAAATTTTTATCTTGATATTATTGATATTTGAATGAATTTTACGAGATTTTACATGATTTTCATTCTTTGTGCAGAAAAAGACTTGATTGCATAATAATAGGAGTTTTTGGGATTAATTGAATATCTTTTGAAAGTTGAGAGACTGAATTGCAAGAAGAAGGGCGCCCCTTTGGGACTTAAATAAATGAATCTTGAGTTTTGGGATCTAAGTGCTCATTGTATAAAAGATGGAGGACCAGATCTGCTATTTTACCATTGAAGAGATTGCAAAGGGAGACCAGAAACTTGACACGGGTGTAGTGTCGACACATAATCTGACTATCGACACCATGCATTAAGCGTCCAGAATTAGACTTTCTGTTTCCTGTTTTGTGTTGATACGTAGTTCGGGATGTCAACACCATGCGTTTAGCATCCAAATTTCAGCTTTCCTGTTCTACTTCAAGTCCTCCTTCTATTTCAATTAGGATTTCTAAAATCCTATGAATATCCATCCAAATTCAGAATTAGGGGAGCTGGTGGAGGCTGGTAATAGCCCTCTTTTGGGTATTCTTGGAGATAAAGAGAGAGGATTCATTAACAATAAAAGATCAATGATTTCAATTACTTCAAATTATGTTTTGTTTTTCCTTAGATATTCTTCTGTTTATAACTATGATTTCAGATTTTATTATTTTTATTATGAACTAATTTATTTTATTAAAACTACGATATAACCTAATCAATTCAATATAGATTTTGTGATTTTATATTTTCAATTAAAGATATTTGCATGTGGAGTTTATGTTATTGAGCTTAATGCATTGAGAGCTTGATCACATTTCAATTGATTTAGTGATTTACGCATGAATTTGAGAAAGAATTGCGTAAATTAGATTAATAATAATATAAACCGTGTGTTAGACTATAAGACCGAGAAATAATTAGCTCACATGTGATAGTGGAAGAAAAGAAGAGAGTTAGTAGCTTCCTCTTCTTAAGCTAGAGGTTTCCATAGAATTAATACTCATTAGTTTGTTTAAAATTATATAGAAATATGATTAATTTAACAAACAAGTGAAAGATTAACTTGACTTGAAAAAACTAGTTAATTAATTTAGGGAAATCCGCCATCACATGCAATAACACTTAACAAATTGGTTGTAAAAGTATATTAATCCAAAATTTATATTGATTGATTATAGTGAAGTCGATGCCTTAATACCTCGTATCTTGATTAACTTTATTTTAATTGTTATTTTCTTTTTATTATTTTTTATTAAAGTTTATCCTTTTTTCGATTGTTCAAATAAATTTGGATTAATTATTTTGATACTTAATTAAACACAATTCTCGTAGGTTCGACACTCTTCTCATCATTATATTACTTGAAGCGATTAGTATACTTACTAGGGTGATTTTAGTGCATCATCTAACATTATAATCAAGAGTTAAAAAACAATGAGAAAAACAAAATCAGAATGCATGAATCATTAGAATTATTGAATATGGCACTAATGAGCCTTTTTATTTTTTTTAAAAAAAATCAATGAGGGAAAAGTATATTCAGAGTTCTATTTTTGCCAAAAGGAAAGAAAGAAAGAGACGGGATCTCTTCTCAATAAGGCAAAAGTTATTAAATAAGGTAAAATTTTGTAATAAAAGTAAAAACATAAACTACATAATTACTAGAATAAAAGCAAGGATTAGTTAGTGGCATTATAAGCAAAAACAGTTCATTCCATTTTTTATGGTAAAAGAAGATAAGGATTAGTTAGTAACATAATGGGCACAATAAAGCTCGTAATTGGTATTTATATTAAGGATTTTTTTAATTTGTATTCTAAGGATACAAGTTAAGAATATTGAAAAATATAAATATTGATATTAATTTTAGTATAAGATGAATTTAGTTAAATAATTGATAAATTAAAATTTAATTTTTATTTTTTAATATAAATTTATGATTAAAAAATATATTTAATACACTTTTATAAGTACAGATTAAACAAACCCTCTTATTAATACTATACTGTAATAAATAAAGGAGAGAGTTGAAATTTTTGTCCTACTTTTATCTTTGAACAACTTCCATTATAGAAGTTATTAACATTTGAAGCTTACATCTAGAGTAAAAATCTGTTGAGATCTATCTTCAATTTCTTCTTATATTCAATAGCTTGCAAATTATCTAATTTTGATGAACTAGCCTTGTAATTGAATTCAACCTCAAGACGCATCAAAAAGTAAATCATCTATATTATCCTTTCTATTATACTATAAAACATGATATTAAAATTAATTGAATTTAAGCTTAAGCATGAATTTAAATATTTTATTTGATGAGTTGAGCTCAAGTTATAAGTACAAATTCTACTATTTTCTTGATGAGTCCAATTTAAGTCTAAAAAGTAAAGCTAGGCAAAATTCTTGAACAAGTCCTGCGTGAGTTTGAGTGTTTATGAGCTTTGCTCACTAGTTTTGATAATGAACATTTGTTTAGTTTAGAAACTTGGTGTATAAGCTTTTAAAAGTTCTTGGGTGCAACAAATTTATCTTACACTTCAAGGGCTCTGAGATAATTTGTAAATTCATAAGCAAATCCTTGGTTAGTAGGTTTCATAACTTGTAATTATAAAATAAAGTACATAATAATGACTTAATTTTTCTTACTACAAGTAATGACTTTAACAATTTTTAGGCCTTTTTTTTATGGGTTTCAATAGGAACACCTTGATCACATTATGTGGAAGTAAAACAATTGTCTTATCATTTTCTCTTGTTCTCTCTTTGATTCAAAATGCCCAGAGTGGTTGCACTTCTTTTTATAAAAATATTTTTCTTTTGTATTCTAATATGTCTCCTTTGTTACCTAAGAAGCCTTCACTAAGGATGTGGATGTTGAAGCCTAACAACTCCTGTATGAGAGATTTTTTCCCTTTTTAATTTATGTGTATCGTTCTTAAGTTATCGAATTTGCACTTGTACTGATTTATATTGGTACATAAAAAAAATTCTTTTTTTTTTTTGCTTTCTGTAAACTTAATAAAATTACACAATTTAGTTTTTGAGAGAGTGATTACTTTTGTTGATGTAACAAGTTTTGGTCTTACCTCTGGAGAAATGATTTTCAATAACCAAACAATTAATTGAGGTTTAATCAAAGGTTATGTTATGTTTGGTTTATACAACACCATGGTTAGTGAAGATAAGGATTGGTTGGTGGCATAATTTTTTTTTTATTTGAACCTTGAGAAAATTAGTTAGATGCATAATGAGATGCTATAATTCATCTTAATTTTATAGAAAGAATTTATTTATACATAAATTTTTTTATATCACAACTATATAAAATTTTAATAAGTTATTTTTGCTTTT